AGTTCTTATAATATCCGAGCAGGATAGGACTCCGAGCAACGGATTCAAGTTGGATAAGTTTAGGTTTAGGAGGGAGATAGGAAGAAACTGGTTCACAAATAGGGTGGTGGACGAGTGGAACAAGCTTAGCAACTTTGTAGTAAGTGCGGGAACTCTGGAAAGTTTCAAAAGGAGGCTAGATAGATTCATGGATGATAGAGAGTGGTAGTAACTCTCGACAGGAGCTGCCATGCACAGGCCAACCGGCCTATTGCAGACTCCTTATTTTGTTATGTTCTTATGTTTATGTTCTTATTATAACGGCGCTGGTGTGATCATTGTAAGGGCGCTGGTCTGATCATTCTAACGGCGCTGGTGTGATCATTATAATGGGGCTGGTGTGATCATTCTAACGGGGCTGGTGTGATCATTCTAACGGGGCTGATGTGATCGTTTTAACGGCGCTGGTGTGATCATTCTAACGGCGCTGGTGTGATCATTCTAACGGGGTTGGTGTGATCATTCAAACGGCGCTGGTGTGATCATTCTAACGGGACTGGTGTGATCATTCTAACGGCGCTGGTGTGATCATTCTACGGGCGCTGGTCTGATCATTCTAACGGCGCTGGTCTGATCATTCTAACGGAGCTGGTGTGATAATTCTTAAGGCGCTGTTGTGATCATTCTAACGGCGCTGGTGTAATCATTCTAACGGTGTTGGTGTAATTATTATAAAGGCGCTGGTGTGATCATTCTAACTGGGCTTGTGTGATCATTCTAACGGGCTCGTGTGATCATTCTAACGGGGCTGGTGTGATCATTCAAACGGCGCTGGTGTGTTTTGGGTGGTGGTTTTGGGTGGTGTGTTTTGGTGTGGTGTGATCATTCTAACGGGGCTGGTGTGATCATTCTAACGGAGCTGGGTGTAATTTTTAAGGTTGGTGTCATTATAGCTGGGCTGGTGTGATCATTTGGTGTTGGTTGTATCTTTATGGGTTGGTGTGATCATTTAAGGTGTGTGGTGTGTTTTGGTGTTGGTGTTTTTGTGGTGTGTTTTGGGTGTGTGTTTTGGGGTGGTGGGATCATTCTAACTGTGTGGTTGGTTTATTCTCATGTGTCGTGATCGTGTTTACATGAGCTCAACATGAACAATTTAAATTTCTTATGTCACTTTACCTTTAATCACCGTGATCATTGTGCAGTTATTATCAAAGGATAATAATAATACATTTTCCTTCTGAAATCGCTGTTACTAGGCACTATACATGTATAATTTCTCTAGAATAATTTAACTTCAAACTTAACAACTCTTCAATCTAATTTAGAATATAATTATTCTAACTAGGGACGTGTTATTTCACCAGGAGACCGGAGAGAGGTTGAGGGGAGTTATTGTGATATGGGGTGGTGGGTAGGAGAATTATAGTATATACTTCCTGTTTGATGAGTCGTTGTTCTAATCTACAGGAACATGTATCACTTATTATATATCAATATGTATTAGATCAGTAAGTTGATATAATTAACCTAAAAGCAAATAATCTCAGTCGAATGGAAATGGAATAGAGCCTTGAGCTTTGACTTAAAATATTCTGCCAAATGGACTTAGAATCTATTATGTCATACAAATTCAAAATCAAATCTGTCATATAGCTTAACCCATCATTACGGGCTAAAAACAATAATATCCCTGTCATGCAACCTAAAATCTGACATTTTTATCATCAGTACGAGAGATAATAAAAAATAGACCGTTATTGGCTCCACATCCTGGACATAAAACAGGAAATGAGGTGAATTTTACCGATTAGTGGCTCAGTGAAGTAAGTTATACCGTTGTTCATATTATACTGGACGTATTCTTTTTTTTGCCAGGAAATTGAGTGTCTTATATTCAACTTTGAGACGCGTAGTGTGTGTGTGTGTCTTATTGTGTGTAAAGAGAGGGAGAGAGAGGACTAGAAAGTCCAATGCCCCAAAGGCTACTTCTGACTCATCTCACTTCACCTTTACTTGTAACAAATAACAGAAAGCCCTCCTAACCTTACCATCTTACGACTTCCGTATCATAAACTTGTAAGTACCATACAGGTAAGTTAGACCCCTTCCCATCCCAGGAGTGTGGGACGGGAAAGTGGAGCTGCAGGTGGTGGCACCCCGGGCAGCCTTGGACGAGGAGCCGAGGAGCAGGTCGGTGTGACGGCTTTGGGATGCCACCCTCATGGGCGGCCACTGCCCCGTCAGGGGGCTACTGAGGGGCCACCAGCTAATAACATATATTTAGGAAATGTTTGTGCTGTGTGTTGTGCAGTTCTCTGGGGACAGGCTTACAGTGAAGACCAGGCTGTGTGGGGTTATATGTTTTAGGCCTCTGTCTTTGTCTCTAATTTTATCTCAATCAATTTCTATTTGTATTTCTTAGTTTTACTCTTTCTCTCTCTCCTCCTCTCTCTCTCTCTCTCTCTCTCTCTCTCTCTCTCTCTAATTTTTCCTCCCGTATTCCCTTATGTCCCTTGTTCAAGCGCAAAGAGACAGACAACAAGTTCACTGTTTCAGGGCAAGAATAAGAATCAGTGTGAGTGAGTGATTGAGTGAGCGAGATAATAAGTGAAGGAGTTAAATAATAAGCGAATGAATTATAATGTAGATAAGCGCGTGTGCGAGTATATATATATATATATATATATATATATATATATATATATATATATATATATATATATATATATATATATATATATATATATATATATATATATATATATATATATATATATATATATATATACACACACATATATATATATATATATATATATATATATATATATATATATATATATATATATATATATATATATATATACACACACATATATATATATTTTTTATAGTATGTGTGTGTGTGCGTGTGTGTGGACAACACAAATAACCATGAAATAAACCCTAATATATTCATTGACGCCCAAATCCATTGATAAAATCTGTTATCAAGACTAATATAATATTTCTGTTTAGTTAACTGTCTTTATCAGATTATAGTCTACTTCAGTAGTTCTCATTTTAAATAATGCAATTGCACAATTGCTTCCAAGTTACCTGCCACCACGCACGCTCCCATACACTTCTCTATAATGTATATTACAGAGGTGTAAAGATGGTGGTTCTCTTTTTCATAGGTTGGCCCACCAGGAGTATCACCTCCTACCTCCTATGTACTCGCTCCAAAAAGTATCTGCTGTGTACCTTCCTGATTCAAACCTTTTTGACAGCTGAAGTGTTCATTATAATATTGAAAGTCTCTAGCAGATTGAGTCGATGTATCATTCAAAGTATTTAAAGACCAAACGCGTATGCTCGTTTTCCTAGTCTTCAGGTTGTAGTGAATGGTGAACACTGATGTAGTAAAAAAAAATACAGGGTGTCAGACCCAGTGGTGCAATGATCACTGACTAAAGTTGGTACTTCTGATTGTGTAATACATTGTGTAACCATTATGATATATTCTGTATTATCATGTATAGTTATTGCAGAGAAATTAACAGGAATCATCATAGTAAATGAGTGTTTTCAGAATTCTTGGTCCGGTATGTCATATTGTACAACACCTTGAAGCTGCATAAAAATATTTTTGACTGTACCCGTAAGTAGTTGATGCATTAGTGTAGACAAGTTTGGTGTTAAAGAACCAAAATATATTTTTCTGCATACTATAGAAATGCTTTCGAGCTCATTAAAAATCGTCCCTCTGTCCATTAAGGCGAAAGGTAAGTCATTACAATGACAGGTGATACTCAGGTCGCGAGCCACACCTGCCCAAACACCCTCCCCTCCCCCTTCTCCTCCCTCGACCTCGTACTGCTCTTTCTTTTCCTCCTCCTCCTTCTTTTTCCTCATCCTCCTCCTTCTTCTCTCCATCCTTCTCTTTGTGTTTCCCTTCCTTCGTCTCTCTCTCCTCCTCCCTTTCCTCTTCCTTTTTTTCTCTTTCCCCTCCTCCTTGTCCTCCCTTTTTACTTCTCTTTCTTAGCCTCCCATTCCTTCTTCCCGGTCTCCTCCTCCTTCACTTCCTTCTTCTTTCTCTCTCTCCTTCTTTCTTCTCTTTCTCTCCTTTCCTTCTTCCTCTCCTCCTCTTTCTCCTCCTTTCCTTCCTTTGTCATAACTGGTGGTAACATCCCATAGATTTTCCTACGGTACTAAAGAAAGTCCAGAGGTACTGACAAGACTTAAACAGTTAATTACAGATGCTAATGGACAAACTAAAGCACCTTCATCAGGAAGGAATGTATGTAAAGAGATGAAATATTCAGAGAGGGACTGTGGTGAACGATCAGGTGGAATGGGAATACGAGAGGAGGGATTGAAGGGGTGTGGGTCTTGTTCTCAATTCCCTCCATCGTTATACTGTCAGGAAGAGGCCCAATTATTTCCTGTGGGTGGAGAATTCGATACGGCATGGCCTATCTATATTGGATTACGGAATTATTATGCAAGCCAGGGATTCTTTGTCCATGTGAGTGAGACAATAGTTTAGTGAAATATGGGGGAAAACAAGTGAAAAGTGAACGTCATGCTCTCTCGTAGGCTTAGCGCGAGAAACTATTAATTAATGCACATGTCGTATATGGTGAGAGAGACCACAGTCGGTGTGAGTAACACGGCGGCCACAGCAGGAGTGCCTATGATCCACATTGTGCTGTATCATCTACTCACACAGTTTCGCGCCCCTGAGCTTCTTTTCCAGGGTCGTCCAATCAGCGCGCTGGGACACTGTCACTCTCCTGTGGCTGACCAATCACGCCTGCCAGAATTATGACGTCACATGCGGGCGCAACCAATGGGGAACGCCTCGTGATTCCGGGAGGCACACCTATAGAACTTATTATATTATTGTGACTAATGTTTCACCCTTTCGACCGGAAGGTCTAAGAAAGACAAATAATATTAGTAGCAGAGGGAGAGGGGCGAAGGCTGAGGAAAAATAGTGTGGAGGTTGGCGCGGCACATTAGTGTTGCGGGAGGTGAGCAACGTCAGGGGTCTGAGACGGAGGGCTGGCGTGACTGAGCCACCTACACGTGCTGCCTTACTCACCTCCCCTCTCCAGTACTTGGTCGAGCCTCGAGCTCTGTGAACGTCTCAACAACTCCAGAGTTACACCCGCGCCGGAGGCTGCCGTATATATCTCTTGGCCTAGTGGTAAATCAGCATGATAATTATTATACATAATTAGTGAAAATCTCTGCAGACGTGATCCCTATGGTGACGTAATGAATGCGTTATTACATAAAGTGCTTCAAAATTGTCTGTGATCATCAGAGCACAGTTAACGTTCCAGCAACGACTGTCTCTCTGCTAGCAAAGCGAAAATACTCCAGCCGAAAGTAATACCGTGTGGGGTGAAGGATTACAACTTACGAATAAATTTAAATCTCCAGAGCTTGCACTTACAGTTTTATTGAACATATACTTACTGTACTTCTTCGGCTCTCAGCTCTTCTGCAGCGTTCAGCGAGCTGCTGTGTATCTATGGACTGGGTGATGCTGTACAGTTCCAAGATTATTATTGAAGACTTTATACATTCGGAAACACTATACATTTGTGGTGTTTGTGTGATTGACACTCTAAGGTGGTAGTGAACGTTTTCTTATATTTGTTTCTCATCTACGTGTAATGATTATTATATCTCTGATACCAAGACGATTTAGTTCTGATCATTGAAAATGTGTCGCTGAAAAGCCAGTAAATTAGATATGTTGTTCAGGTGAGATGAAGATGAAAAAACTACGTTTCCCGGGAGCAAGGACCTGTACAGTACCAGAGAGTCCTGGGTGGTGCCGCGCCTACTAAATTCTCATAACATTGGACAATAGTACTGTATATATTCTATTATGTTAATCTTTTGTAAATTATTTTCAGGTTCAGGACTGACATTCAGAAATTTTACGTCCGGACTATAGTGAAAACAGTTTATGTGATACAGTGATAAGTTGAGAGCAAATACTATGAACAAAGTAATAAGGATGAGGTAGACGTCTTCAAGAAATCTCCAGCCATGGAACCGCAAAAGGTACGTGTAAAAATTAGACAACGTCACGACTTAATAAACAATAGATGAATTAAATCAGGTGTATCCACTAAGCTAAAAAGATGTACTAAATAAAAACACGCGTCATAAAAGATGTTGTTGATATTAAAACTCCTAAACCCTAAACGTGACTAGATAATGAAATACCAGCAATCTGTTATTTAATTGAAATGGCCAAAAATGGCAAAACAATTTTTATCTCATTTAAAAAAAAACATAAATCACAAGTTTACATTCGTCCGTTCGCTGGCCGACAATCACATTAACGCGCAGGTGAGACCAGCTCCGTGATGCTACCAACCTGTCCCTCTGCAACAACCTTACCCCTTCATTAATATAACAGTCTCCTTAAATGATTATCGGTTGCAAGTTCGGTTTTTATACGTTTTTTTTTTCTAATGCCTCGTGTCTAATTGATAACATTGAAGTTAGTACTCTACAAGGGTTCACTTTGATTCGTGTAATGTGTTCATAGTTACATCTGTCTCCTATGGTTCTGGTGTATGGATTCGCCCCCTTCTGTCTAGTCGTACTTCCTCTTTTCTTCCTCTTTTCTTCTCTTGTGTCATTCTGCTACTCTTCTCACTCTTCGTTTCATTTCTCGTTTTCTTTCACCTCCTCTCTCTCAACATTCCTGTCGTTATACTTCGCTTCTTCTGCTCCTTCTTCTCCCTTGTACTCTTCTTCATCCTCCTCCTTCTCGTCCTTCTTCTCCTCCATCATTCTTCTCCTCGTCTTTCCGTCTTTCACTTCATCTTTATCTTTTTCTACTTTTCCCCCCTCTTATTTTCCCCCTGCCTTGCTAATTCTCGTCATTACCTTTTCTTCTTATCTCTCTTGTTTCTTCTTCATCTCCATATTCTTCCTCCTATCCTTTTTTCTGTTCCTCTCCATCTTATCCCTTCTCGTCTTTCTCCTTATCTTCTTCTCCTTCCCTTCAACTCCCTTTTCTCCGTTTGGTTTCTCTTCCCTCTTTTAGGTCTCCCTCCCCCCTTTCCATTCCTTCCTCTCCCTTTAGCTCTTCTTCCTATTCTAGTTCTTCATCCATTTCTACGTCTTCTTTTATTTCTAGTTCTTCCTTCCCTTCTGGTTTTTCCTCTCCTTCAGTTCTCCCTTCTCGGTTTATTCTTCCTCCTCTTCTCCAACTAGTTTTTCCTCCTCTTCTCCAATTAGTTCTTCCTCCTCTTCTCTAACTAGTTTTTCCTACTCTTCTCCAATCAGTTCTTCTTCCTCTTCTCCAGCTAGTTCTTCCTCGTCTTCTCCAGCTAGTTCTTCCTCCTCTTCTCCAGCTAGTTCTTCCTCCTCGTTCCATCGTATATGTTTAACTTACAAGGCTAAGGATGGTTCTCCTGCCTAAATTCCTACGTTATACCACCCATCTGTCTACCTCCCGTACATTTGTAACTCTTATTAGTGCCTCGTATAATACTACTAGGATTCCTCGCCATATTTGGTAAGAGAAGACTACCTACCCGCCTCGCCAAGGGATAAGGGGCAAGGGTGTTTATATTTTTAGTAATAACATGAAATCTTTTACTTATTAATTTTGGTTTTAAACAAATATTGGTTTTAGTTATATGCATGAGTATTTAAACCTTACTTGATTTAATTATAAAGAATATGTGCAAATAACGTTAAATGTGTGTGTTGTGTGGGTGTGTGTGTGTGTGTGTTCATTTAATTATCAGCATCTTATTTTACACGTTTCCTTAATAACGTCGTATAAATGATTAAGTGATATTGGTTAATTGTACTGACAGCCAAACATTACACAAACTTACATGTAATATATGGATAAACAGCTGTCTATTTTATTACTGTAAAAAATATATACATATGCATACGAAGGCCTTTATTATGTATATGAATTATTGCTAATTTGTTTGTAGGACAGCAGCTCACCAACTTGCGGAACAGATAACACCAGTCAAATCAGTGTAGCCGTGTAACCAAGAACTTAAAGACTCTTCTATACGGTATATCTGGATATACATATGTTAGAGAAGAGACCTTATTATTCTTATATATTATATGTCTCTTAAATGTCTTACATCTGTAGTAGCTGTCTTGCATCTGTTGTACCTGTCTTGCATCTGTTGTATCTGTCTTACATCTGTAGTAGCTGTCTTGCATCTGTTGTACCTGTCTTGCATCTGTTGTATCAGTCTTACATCTGTAGTAGCTGTCTTGCATCTGTTGTACCTGTCTTGCATCTGTTGTATCTGTCTTACATCTGTAGTAGCTGTCTTGCATCTGTTGTACCTGTCTTACATCTGTTGTATCTGTCTTGCATCTGTTGTACCTGTCTTGCATCTGTTGTATCAGTCTTACATCTGTAGTAGCTGTCTTGCATCTGTTGTACCTGTCTTGCATCTGTTGTATCTGTCTTACATCTGTAGTAGCTGTCTTGCATCTGTTGTACCTGTCTTACATCTGTTGTATCAGTCTTACATCTGTAGTAGCTGTCTTGCATCTGTTGTATCTGTCTTACATCTGTAGTAGCTGTCTTGCATCTGTTGTACCTGTCTTGCATCTGTTGTATCTGTCTTACATCTGTAGTATCTGTCTTGCATCTGTTGTATCTGTTGGTCTTACATCTGTCTTGCATCTGTTGTATCATCTGTCTTGCACATCTGTTGTATCAGTGTAGTAGCTGTCTTGCATCTGTTGTACCTGTCTTGCATCTGTTGTATCTGTCTTACATCTGTAGTAGCTGTCTGCATCTGTTGTACACATCTGTTGTATCTGTCTTGCATCTGTTGTACCTGTCTTGCATCTGTTGTATCTGTCTTACATCTGTAGTATCTGTCTTGCATCTGTTGTACCTGTCTTACATCTGTTGTATCTGTCTTACATCTGTATCTGTTGTATCTGTTGTATCTCTATCTGTAGTAGCTGTCTTGCATCTGTTGTACCTGTCTTACATCTGTTGTATCTGTCTTGCATCTGTTGTACCTGTCTTACATCTGTTGTATCTGTCATCTGTAGTAGCTGTCTTGCATCTGTTGTACCTGTCTTTGTCTGTTGTACTGTCTTATCTGTAGTGCTGTCTTGCATCTGTTGTACCTGTCTTACATCTGTTGTATCTGTCTTACATCTGCTGTCTTGCATCTGTTGTATCTGTCTTACATCTGTAGTAGCTGTCTTGCATCTGTTGTACCTGTCTTGCATCTGTTGTATCTGTCTTACATCTGTAGTATCTGTCTTGCATCTGTTGTACCTGTCTTACATCTGTTGTATCTGTCTTACATCTGTAGTAGCTGTCTTGCATCTGTTGTACCTGTCTTACATCTGTTGTATCTGTCTTGCATCTGTTGTATCTGCCTGTTGTATCTTACATCTGTCTTTGTATCTGTCTTACTATCTGTTGTAGCTGTCTTGCATCTGTTGTACCTGTCTTACATCTGTTGTATCAGTCTTACATCTGTAGTAGCTGTCTTGTACTGTCTTACATCTGTTGTATCTGTCTTACATCTGTAGTAGCTGTCTTGCATCTGTTGTACCTGTCTTACATCTGTTGTATCAGTCTTACATCTGTAGTAGCTGTCTTGCATCTGTTGTATCTGTCTTACATCTGTAGTAGCTGTCTTGCATCTGTTGTACCTGTCTTGCATCTGTTGTATCTGTCTTACATCTGTAGTATCTGTCTTGCATCTGTTGTACCTGTCTTACATCTGTTGTATCTGTCTTACATCTGTAGTAGCTGTCTTGCATCTGTTGTACCTGTCTTACATCTGTTGTATCAGTCTTACGTCTGTATTATCTGTCTTACACCTGTTGTATCTGTCTTACACCTGTAGTAGCTGTCTTACAGCTGTAGTAGCTGTCTGACGTCTGTTGTATCTGTCTTACATCTGTTGTATCTGTCTTACACCTGTAGTAGCTGTCTTACAGCTGTAGTAGCTGTCTTACAGCTGTAGTAGCTGTCTTACATCTGTTGTATCTGTCTTACATCTGTTTATCTGTCTTATATCTGTTTTATCTGTTGTATCTGTCTTACAGCTGTTGTATCTGTCATACATCTGTTATATCTGTTGTATCTGTTTTACATCTGTTTATCTGTCTTACATCAGTTGCATCTGTCTTACATCTGTTTATCTGTCATACATCTGTTATATCTGTTGTATCTGCCTTACATCTGTTTATCTGTCTTATATCTGTTTTATCTGTTGTATCTGTCTTACAGCTGTTGTATCTGTCATACATCTGTTATATCTGTTGTATCTGCCTTACATCTGTTTATCTGTCATACATCTGTTATATCTGTTGTATATGCCTTACATCTGTTCATCTGTCATACATCTGTTATATCTGTTGTATCTGCCTTACATCTGTTTATCTGTCATACATCTGTTATATCTGTTGTATCTGCCTTACATCTGTTTATCTGTCTTATATCTGTTTTATCTGTTGTATCTGCCTTACATCTGTTTATCTGTCATACATCTGTTATATCTGTTGTATATGTCTTACATCTGTTTATCTGTCTTATATCTGTTTTATCTGTTGTATCTGTCTTACAGCTGTTGTAGCTGCCTTACATCTGTTATATCTGTTGTATCTGTCTTACATCTGTTTATCTGTCTTACATCTGTTATATCTGTTGTATCTGTTGTATCTGTCTTATATCTGTTGTATCTGTCTTACATCTGTTATATCTGTTGTATCTGTCTTATATCTGTTATATCTGTTGTATCTGTCTTATATCTGTTATATCTGTTGTATCTGTCTTATATCTATTGTATCTGTCTTTTATCTGTCTTAGATCTGTTGGATCAGTCTTACATCTGTTATATCTATTGTATCTGTCTTATATCTGTTATCTGTTGTATCTGACTTACAGCTGTTGCAGCTGCCTTACATCTGGTATATCTGTCTTATATCTGTTTATCTGTCATACACCTGTTATTTCTGTTGTAGTTTTCTTACATCTGTTTATCTGCCATACATCTGTTATTTCTGTTGTAGTTTTCTTACCTCTC